GTTGTCTTAATAATAATCATTTTTTTTAATATAACAATATCAATTTATTAAAATTAAATTATTTCATTACGTTTACTTACCTGATTTTTTTTTATAGCTAAATTAATTTTTTATCCCAACAAAATTAATTTATTGTTATTACTATTAGTTATTTTAACAAAATGATTTAACTACTTGAACAATAAAATTTGTAAAACCACCTAATTAATCTATATTACTCCAACAATATTTTTTTTCTCACACCAGAAAAAATATAATTATTCTTTTGAAACAATTTTAATAACAATACTGAGCTGTCAATTTTAAAAATTTTTATAACAAATCAATTACAAAAAAAAATGCTTCGAAAAATTTCCACTTGTAATTTTTATTAATATTCACATGTGGAATTTTTTTTAATAAAAATTTTTTTTTATAATAATTTAATTGCCATAAAATTCTAAAAAAAATTTTTAATGTCTGTCAACTTCAGTGTCATATTTTAATATACAAAAAAAATTTATGAATTTTTGAAAAAGATGCCTTTATATTAATTTTTTTAATTCAATTTATTAACACGTTTTATTTTTGAAAATTTTTGTAAATGCACTTTAAAAAAAAAAAATTATTCAAACCTATCTTAATCGAAAAAAAATCAAAATTTTCTTAATAATTATCATTGTTGATTTTTTTTTATTACTCTAAACTTTAACTTTTTTTTTTAAATAATTCAAGTATTCTTCAATATAATCTTGGCACATTTTTCTCTTTTGTAATAATTTTCATCTTATTAAAAATTAATTTTATTAAAAATCACCATTCTTTTTTATACTAATAAAAAAATTAATTTGAGTCAATAAAAAAAATTTTAAACAAAAAAAATTAATTTAAACCAAAAATATTTTTTAGGCTTATAAATTTTTTCTCTTTTAAGTAAAAAAAAATCAATTTTTTCTGTTTTAATAGTGAAAAAAAAACTGATATTTTTCAGCAATTACAGGACCAATGAATAATCCAATATAAAACCCTGTACAATGATAAAAATATATCCTAAGCTTGTCATTTAATATTATGACAATACCTAAAGTTCCGGTGCAGCGACATATTTTTTTGCCTTGTAATGCACTGGGTTAATAAAATATATGGCGTAAATGGGGTAAAGGCGTAGTATAGAGGAAGGCGATGTGAAGAGTTTTAGTTGAGGGCAATCGAAGGATGTGATAATTAAGGTGGGTATAATGTAGTAGTAAATAAGGTTGTGTGCCGTGTAGTGTATCGAGGCGGAATACATAACTTAGTGACATTTATTGATGATGGTAGCACTACTGCCATTTTAAAACTACCGCAGCGTTGAGGATCACGCGAAAGGGGCGAGAGATGGGTTAAGGTGAGAATAAAGGAGTGAAATGAAACAACAAAAAAGAAATGAAACCAAGAGAAAAATGAAGAGAGATAGACAAGGGGTATTAGAGACTAATTTGGCAGCGTACCGCTTGTTAATTTTAATTACAAAAATAATCCGTTAAAACTTTCGTCGGATGAAAAGAATGAAGAAGACGAATTGTTGTTATAATAATAACAGCTCGCTGCTCGAGAACTATTTTTTTTTTAATTGTAGATTTTAAATTATAAATTAGAAAAATAAAAGCATTTTGGATTGTAAGAAGTGTTTCTTTAATTATTTATTTATTGGAGAATAAATGATTCCTTTATCGCTGAATCCGTACCGATAAATAATTTGTCAGTTGTCAAAAAAGGGGACAATGTCCCGTAGGACACCATAAATTATAAATTATATGAATTTATATGTACATATTTATTCGTATATTAAAGATTAATATACGGCGCCATTGGTTCCCACTAATGAACCATAAAAAATTTAAACAAGTAACACGTTGACGTTTTATCCAAGCGATTGCACCGGGCAGTGCATCAAGAAAGGACGAATTTCACGGGACATTGCCCGTTTCTTTAAGAAAATTAAACTCATTGGTTACAGCCGAACATGACAAGTCACTAGATATTCTATTAAGATATCCTTTCAATTTATATCTTGCTAAATACTTTTTTTATTTTTTTATTTTTTAAGACGAATTTTTAAAAATTTATTTAGTGACAAATTTTATAATTAATTTGTGAAATATTAAATTTTAATGTTTTTTTTTTTATAAATATTTTTTATTGAATGAATAAGAATTTGATGAAATTAACAGATATTTAATTTAATCTTTTTTTTTTAAGATTAAGTTACAAAAAAATGAAAAAAAAAAAAATAAACGTAATAAATTTGATGTTTTTCCTAACTTAAAAAATTAATAAACAGAAAATTAATTTTTATTTTAGATCCTAAATACGTGTAATTAATGTGTTTTAATATTGTTTAATTTTTCTTCAAATATTAATTTATTGACAAGCTTTAAAATTTTTTAACTTAGCAATTCAAAAATTAGATAAAAAATGTTTTGTCTGATTATTATCAATCCCAAAAATTTTTTAATTTCAGCATCATTGTAAAATTTTTTTTTATCTAAATTTGAATTTGTATTTGATTTTACTCATATGTTACTAACTTAATTTATTACATTGCATTGTACTATAATGGTATATGCTTAATTATCTAACTACACTATTTGATTATTACTCATTAATTGTATCCAAATCTTGTATTCGGCTAAGCCTTGGCATATAAATTTAATAAATAAATAAATAATTAATAAAAATTACTTTTAGTCTAATAAAAGATAAATTACAAATTTCTTAAAAATAAAAAAAAAATAACAACAATACATATTTTTCCTGATTTGAAAAATAACTAAACAGCAAATAATTTTTCATCATATTTAAATTCTTCAACTTTCTTGAATAAATTATCAATTTTCTTACATGTGATAAAATTTTCCCCAAATGTGATATTCCTATAAATTTAAAAACCCATGTGTTTCCAAACCATTGAAGTTGTTAATAAAATAACGTAACGGGATTATCCTAAAATTTTCATAACTCAGGCTTAAAAATTCACGGACAATTAGCACTAAACGTAAACGCCCACCAACAATAGTATTTGTAAATACCTTGAAAGAGATTAAACAAAAATTAAAAGGTAATGTTAACATCAAACCAGTGTAAAGATAACTTATACCCGTGTACAAGTACAAAAGCGTATAATATCTGTTTAAAAGAGCAAAGAAAGAGTTATGGAGGTAAAATCAAATTAAAACTAAACTCAGTGGTTACAAGGAACAATGTATTTACTTTTGGAGGGTTTTTTCAACAAACACACTGACAATTATCAACACAATACACGTAAATCCCGAAAGCTAACCAAGAAAAAGTAAATACCCCTCTTTGGTTGCCACGCCCTATCTGGATGCACCCCCGCTACGCGCCTTTTGTTTCGCGGTTCATTTGTCTCCTCGGTCTGCCCACTCTTCTACAAATTACGGTACTCTGTATATAGATACACTGTGGTGGATATCCTGCCCATAGAACCTCAAGAGAAGGAAGAGGAGAAGAAGCTCAGCTGGAGGTGGTGGTGGTGGTGGTGGAGAAGAGAAGATACAGAGATAAAAGATAAAAAGAGCTTGTTAACTGACAAGCCAGAGAGGGAAAGAAATATGCAATCGAAAGCGCACCACGCGATAGAAAAGAGAAATACAAGAGTGGACCATAAAGCGATAAATTAAAACCCCGCGGAGAGACTGCGGGCAAGCGTAAACCCATCATCCCCCTCCTCAACATTCTATAGTCTTCTCTCTCGAAGAACTATCATACATACGATAGTTACAAATACTAGTTGGATAATAGTGTGCGAACATTATTACCCGATCGGGAACGGGGACCGTTACTTCCCTTAGATGTCGCTTTTTGTTGTCAGAGTTATAGGCGCATCGTTAATAATTCCGCTTCAATCGATTGTCTGGAGTTTGAATAGAATATCAGTTGCTCGCTTTACGTTTCACATCGCCACCTATCGGAAGCGTTTCATTATTATTTTTTGGACCATTGAAGCCATTGCACGCTCTAAACGCGAACTTCAATAATTGAGTGCTTCGTTTAGGAATTTTGTAACCTATTTTTTCAGAGTTAAAAGGTTATTACAATTTTTTAAATATAAAAGATAAGATACTGGAGGGTAATAAGGTTTAGCTATAAGGGATATTTGTAATAAAATTATATGTATTCAATTTAATTAATGTTTTTGTATGTTAAGCGCTATTTAAAGACACTACCTATAATATATCAACAAAGAATAGTATTAAGATTTACTAAAAATAAAAATTTGAAAAAAGTTAATCCTGCAGGTTATCAATAGAATTTTCCGCGAAAAAAATTTTTTATACAAAATTTTGAGGTAAAAATCTGATAGTGTTAAGAAAAAATTCTTATAATCAAAAAGAAGTTTTTTGAGCATAAAAAAATAAAATTTCTTTTTAAGAAACAATCTGACACGAAATTTTGAAGTTATGTTAAAAAAAAAAACCCTCTAGTTCAATTTTTTTCGACAACAGGAGAATCATAAATTTTATTGGTCAAAAAATATTGTTTAAATAGTTTGATAAATAATAAAAAAAAACACAATGTCATTGAAATTATATTTTTTTATTTTGAGAATTTAAAATAATTGTTTTGTGTTGTACAATGTATTAGGATTAAAGATACAATAACTTGTCCGTTCAATTTTTTGATTTGATTTGAAATATAATTTGGAATAATTTTATTAAAATATTAGGCGCGCAGTAGCCTATCGGATCCGGCCCTTGCTACCAAAGCATTGGACCGGGTTCGAGTCCGGCGTACACCAATGAATATTTTCAATATTTAAGTGTATTATTCTGCACAGCCCAAGAAATACAAACGAGTTCCAATCTCAAAAGTTTACCCCCTACCGTAGTTGCTCATGACCTTAGTAGTTTATGCGACTTTAAACAAATTAAAAAAAAAAAAAAAAAAATTTTTATTAAAATCGCTGCCGTGTTGTATTTTTTTTTTTTCATATAACATGTAAAATTGAATGACTCAATTTAAACTTTATATGAGCCGCAATTATCGTGATTAACATTGACCAAAGGTATGGAAGTAAGATTATATTTTTGAATTATTTCATCTAGTTTGGGTCTGTACTTTTCGCAAAGTTCAAGAGTTTTTGCGAAATATGCAATCCACCCATCTCTAAAAAAAACGAAATTTATTTATGAAAATCGCAAAGTAAATTTTGAATTATATTGATTTCTTAGATTGAACTTACTCTATCTTATCTTTGCATCCCAAATAAATGAGGTAGTCACTCTTGGTGTCCAGTGTGGTGAAAGTTACTGGTGGCATAGTGCTGATGTTGTACGCTAATTCAATCTCCTGGTCCTTAATAGTCGCATCAGCAGTCAAAGATTCTCCATTACCACTTCGAAATATTCAAAGAAACAAATTAATATCATCATACATATAAAAACAGAGCATAGTCATAATTTGTAAAAGATATAATTACTTTTTTGAAACTAAAAATAAACGTGAATCCCAACTGTTGGAACTAGTGGGCACCAAATTTAGTCTAATACAATCTTTTGATTCGGGAAGTTTATTGGGACTGTCTACACATCCAAAATAATTTCCAAAAATCTAAAATAATTTTATTTTGTAAGGGCTATATAGAAGCTTCGTTGCAAAGATCAATGATTAATTATTGCGATGAATATAAAAAAATAAAATATAAAACAAACAAAAAGTACATGTCTTGTGACGTTCACTTTATTTTTTTGCACGCCTCATAGCGCGAAGCGCGTGAGGTTGTGCTTTACACTCGACTCGTTAATGTCAAGCAATTTTTAAAATTAGACGTAATTACTGCACAGAAAAAAAAATTTAGTCGAATCAAGTAAATAATTTTGAAGAATTTAATCTTCTTGACTTGAGTAGAAAAATTCTTAAACTAATAAATTTTTGTTGATTTAAGGAAATTTTATTTAATTCAAAAATTTTTCGTCTTGATTCAAGAGAATAAAATTTATTTTCACTTCCCGCCATTTTTATCTCAGATAAGAAAAGAAGAGCGCATGCAAGCAGGATAAAGCTTCGCGTTATGAGGCGTGCAAAAAAAGTAATAGGCTTACCTCAGAGACATTCACAGTCACTTTGTCTAATTGAATACTGGAACATGAAGAATGTTCTATTGCCACAGATCTTATTTGACCAAAAACGGCAGCCAAGAGGCAGCAGATAATTATGAAGTTCTTCATTTTTAATGATTCTTGCTAAGAAGTATCTTCAAAATTGTACTATGGCTTTAAAATTCGTCATTTATATACGAAAATTCGCTAGGCGCAGAAGGGGAGTTAAGAATTCGATTGGTCAAAAAGAAACATTCGATAGAGTAGTTTCGGTGAATTACGAAAAAAACAAAACAATTAAAATTATATATCTTTTTTTTCTATTTCTTTATTTGAAGAACATGGAGCAATTCCATTAATCGAAAAATAATTAAGTTTTAGAGTTAATTTCGATAATTGACACAAAAATAAAGTAATTAATATCTTATTTCGTGACATATTATTTTTTACTCAGTTGTTTAACTTTAAAAGAATTGTTTTTCTGTTCTTTTTTTATGATTGTGCAAGATAATAATAATAATCTGCAATTTTTACGTTCAAAAATAAATTTTTATCACTAAAAATTTATCTACAGTTTTTATTTCGTAATTTTTACCTATAACATGAAATAATAGCAGAAATAATAATAAAAAATAATTCAATTACTTTTTTTTTATTTTTTATTCTTGAGTTAATAGTTCCTTATCTAAAAAAAGAGATTTTAGTACTTCTTTAATTATTTTGCTTAATAATAAAAATAAATTTCACTTAATTGAATAATTTTTCTGCTTGGTTTAATATTTTCAAACTTTTCAAAATGTTGCTCTTTTTATTTCATTAATTATTTATTAATTAAAATTCTAATTATTTTTTCTTACAAGCTATCACTATAACAATAAAAAAAGAGCGTTAATTGAAGATTAATTCTCTTAAATCCAGAAAATTTTTTAATTACCGTAAATTAACGTCTAAACATCACTCGAAGCGTCAATTTACCGGAAAATAAATAAGTAACTAAACTTAATATCACAAATTTTCAAAATTATGAGAAGTTATTATTCCCAGCTCTATTTTTTATTAATCTTGTCTTATGTTATTATCATTATCCTGCATTGTCCCCTATAATAATAATTTAAGGCATTTAATTTTATCATTGGTTTAGATTCAACAATCTCAGGCTCAGTTGAAAAGAATCAAAACAAGCGCGTATTATATTTTGGTGTTGAGCGTAAGTATAAGTATAAGTATAAGTGTAGAATTTGAATCATTGGAGATGATATCGGACGAAATAGAACGATTCGACTTATACTAGTTTGGAAGAAGCGAGGGTCATTCTCATAGTCCGAAACTGGTGCCGCAAATGACAGTAATATTGCTGGGTTGCGGTTTTGAGCACCACAGACTGATTATAGCCCACTTCCGACGCGTAAACAACGGTTTGTAAAAGAAGGAGTCGGTCCCATCGCCGAATTCGCGTTACATATATATTTCAAGTGCATGAGAACCAAAAAAGTTCTTTTTTTATATAGATAAATTTTGTGGTTGTATTGTCATGTCTAATATCATAATCTGATATATATATACATGCTCAGTAAATAATAAAAATGTCAAAGCACCTGGATAGAAAATGAGTGTGACTCGATACATATTTTGGGAATCGTTTTGCCGCCAATTAGAAGCATTACTGGTGTGCAGTTGAAATTTAAACGGCAGATCGAGGATTTGAGCTCATTTAGTTCAGTGTTGGGGCAGCTGCATGATCGGCCCTAAAGGATTCACTGATATATAAAAGGCATGCGTGTACACATGGCCCGTGCCGGGTTTACAGGGCTTTCAGGATCAAAACGACTTACACTTAATATAACGAGCAGTCTGTACGCAGTTAGTATAACTCAGTCGTATAAAATATGTAGCATTATGAATTGTCTTTAATTCCGTTTTTGAGGATTCTGCAACGTGTAATTTTTGTGGTGAGTTCTTCGTGAACGATAAATTGTACCTACCCTTTCTGTTTTCCTTAAGCTGCCTAATTAAGATACGACATATGTCCTCAGTGGTTCTCAATTATTTTGAATATGTTTTACAGTTTGGAGGACTTTCTTCACTCAATCAAATTTGATTTGTGGCATAAATGTACATTGAAAAAAAAATTATAGACTTGGACCAAAAGAATAATTTTTGAACGAATAAAATTATTTTGAGTCAGCTATAAGTAAGTTTTGCTTACATGGCTGCTCAAAGGACAAAAAATGTCTCCGTCAGCCGAAAAAAATTAATTATAATTAAACAAAATAATATTTTATTGCAATTTTAAGTCTGCAATTTCTTATAGAACAGATGAAGATATTAAAAAATTAATTTAAGAACCAAAATCATATAGCAGACCAAATAATTTATGTTTTTCTTTTTATTTATTTTAATTTTTGTAAATTGAAATAAATAAAAAGAAAAACATAAATTGTTTGGTCTACCATATCCTGATTTTGGTTCTTAGAAATTTAATTTAGTTGAAAAATTGATGCTTTTAAAGTTGTTCTGTTTACTCTTCGATAAAACTTTTTAAAATCTATATCATAAGTCATTATAATAACTTTTTCTTGTAAAAAAAGCAATTAATCAATTTAAATTCTGATACGATGAAAAAAACAAATTCTTGACTGGAGGGTAAATTTTTTTAGCTCAAGAAAATATCTAGAAAGATTGAAAATTTTTTGAACAAAGTCAAATTTTTTTGAGCCAAGAAAATTTCTTCTTGCTCCAAAATATTTTTTGTCTTCCTTAAAATTTTCTGGATGCAAAAAGTTTGTTTTTCTGTGTAATTATTACATTTATATGATGTACACGATTATGTCAGGTATGATTTAATATTAATTTTCAATATGTTGAGATGTTAATTTTTTATTTTAATTTTTAATCAAAATTTGGTTCTTAATATTATCATCAGCAGACAAAAATCAAAAATTGGAATTTTTTCTGAATATGCTCATTAAACTTAAATTTTACAACTTCCGTTTATTGAATCAGTGTTATTTTTAACGATCAAATGAGTTTTTGTAGCCTTATCAATAGCATAGAATTAAAGACAGTAAAATAAAGCTATAATTGAACTTAACTTTATGTATTTCTGCAAGTTTTTTGCAAGTGTCTGTTTAAACTATCAGTGATTAAATTTTATGATAATCTACTTCTCCAATCCCGATCATTATTCAATAGATACATTTAATAAAAATGTAATTAACAGTTATTACTGAAATTCTGATACAATTATATGCAATCAACAATTATTAAAGAATTTAAATGAAAGAAAATCTCTAAAATGACAGGCCAATGTATGAATAAATGAACATTGCAGCAATAGAAGAATTGAAATTGAAACAGTTACGGTTGATAAAATAGCCTGTACAAATGAGAAAGAAAATAAAATAAAGAAGAGAGAAACAAATGTGCGCCAACGCCAAGCACGTCCCCTTCATATTCAGTTCTCTGTAATTTTACACTAATCCTCTGGCTCGCAGAGAAGAAAATATTATCCCTTTGCCAATTGCAATATAATCTTTCTATCTATTACAGCCACTCATATATAAGCGCTCCTAGTAGTATTAAACATTACATATATATACTTATATCGTGGTCGCATACCGGCATAACCTCTATTCTACAAACCGACATACCGAACGTAAAAACTGAACATATTTCCGTAAATACTAACACAGAAGTGGAAATCGGTAATAGTAATGTCAAATATTATTCATTTTTTGAGCTGTTTATAAAACTAATTTCATTTAAATTATTTTTTTGTTCGATGTCGCTGCAGCCGCACGAAAGTCATATTAAAAACCAGTTACTGTCGTCAAAAGCACAAACACGGACCAAACGTATAATATATAATCCTTATTCGCTTTTACATCCATGTGTCATTCTCTTTCCTTCTTTTCGAATTATTCTACTCCAATGATCGCTATCCACATACATACTAAATACGATCCTATATGTACACACTCATACGGATATATGTACTTATTATACCATATATTTATCAAACATTTCGATCTTTAGTTGCGTGTTAACGTCCACGTAATCGTTCCCCAATGGAGAATCGTTTTATCATGATGCAAAAAAAAACTAGAAATAAATCGTTAACAATTACTCAAGTATTCTTGTAAATCGGTTTCATTTAAATTCGGTGAAAAAAATTTTGCCGGAATAATTCTTTTTATTTGTTTAAATTTTGAGTTTACATTTTTTAAGAAAAATTAAATTATTTCTTCACTCTAATGGATTTTATCTTTAGATTTAATAAAAATGTAACTATTTTTAATTGTATTTGCCTTCTCAAAGGAACATTTGAAAGCTTTCCTATTTTCTGACTTAATTCGTCGGGATTAAATGTTTATTCGGCTCAAAAGTTTGTATTTTTAATTATTTATTCAAAAGCGTCCAAAATTTTTAACAGATTTTAATGAAATTCAACATATTCATCCTTTGGATAATTTTTTAGGTCAATTTCTAATAAGAAAGCCCAAAATCAGTGGATTAGTTTAAAAATTACAATAATGCAAATTTCTAAGCCAAAAATTGATGATACTCAAGTTAGCCGACGTTTTTAATTTTTTGATTTTTTTTTAATAATTAAATAAGAAAAAAAAATATTTTCTAAAAATTGCACTTACAATTTTTCAAGTTTTTAACAAATGACAATTTTCTTTTTTTTTTGTAGTCATTTTTTCAATAAAAAAAATTTTTTTCATTTTTAAATGTCGGGTAACTTTTTTTATTAAAAAAATTTCAATTAAACAATTAAAAAAAAAATTCACATTGTAAAAAACTTGAAAAACTATAAGTTCACATAGTAAAAAACTTGAAAAACTATAAGTGCAATTTTTTAGAAATAACTTTTTAGTTGTAATTTAATTAATAAAAAAAATCAAAAATTTTTAGACGTCTGCTACCTTCAGTGTCATAAATTGACAAAAAATTCTGCAAGTTTTTTTACACTGAAAAAAATAAAAATAAATTAACTTTAAAAGAAAAAAGAAAAATTCTTCAGTCAGAAAATTTAATAAAATATTAAAAATTTCAAATTTTAAACTTCAAAAAAATTTGTTGATAAAATTAAATTCTACTTACTTTTTTCCTTAAACTTCCGTCCA